ACAGATTGGCTACGTTCACACTGCAGGACTTGATGCTCAATGAGGATTTCTTTGTGACTTCCTTCACGTTTCCAGTTCAATGTGACTTGTATGTGATCTGCTGTGTGAACTCCATACGACCCAAAAGTGTCCCGCATGCGCAGAAGAGGACACGACGACGTCACACGCAGCGAGCGTGCTCAGTGTTTACAGGAAGTAAACATGGATGGTAACGGTGGAGCGTATCTGCCACTGTAATGTTTTTCTTTCTTCACTTCCTTCTCTGGTTCTGAGCCGTTTATTTATTGATCCAGGAGGTTGGATTTTCCTCTCAGACTCTCTCGTTGTCTCCATTTTGTCGTTTTGTGTCGTTGGTGCTCTTTCAGGCGGTTCTGTTTTAACACACTGTAGATTTTTCCTCTTACAAAATCGATGCTCTGAGGAAACACTGGCTGCAGTTCAGCCGGAGAACTCAGCAACAAAACTGAAATACTTCAACTTTGGTAAGTTCAGCTAAAGACTGCTGTGTGAAATGAGAGAAGAAAGACGTTGTGCTAAGCTAGCGCTCTGCCATCTGAGCTAATCCCCTCATGTCTCAGCTCTCTGGTCGTCTCCTCTCTGTGGACTCGCTGCATCTAAAAGCTTCATTCTTGCTGCAGCCAAGTCAGTCATGGAGGATCCGGTGTGTCGAGGTGCTCAGAATCCTTCGTTTCTTACAGAATCTGGTGCTAAATGGTGGATTTTTGGAGTCATGTAGAGTACAGGGAGTTCCTGACAGGACCACATGTGACTGAGTTCAGGCTGTTCTGGTTCTGATAAATGCTGCGAATGTGGTGATTTTGTAAAGAGAACATGTCTGTCAAAGCAGCGTTTGAGATTCAGAGACTTAAATGAAACCGTTTATCTGAAGACTGAAGAAGTCTGTGTTTGGTGGCAGCGTCTGAACTGGTGATGAGGAAACCGTCCACACGCTGTCCATCCCGGTGTCCAGTCATATCTGTACGTCTTTATATACTTTGTTCTGCTCACTTGGAGCGACTGGAGCTCGTTGCTCCTCGTGTCCGGACCAGGAGGCTAAACCCTCCGGCTCGCCAGCAGCAGTTGCTCCAGAACACTTGTTGTGTTCAGACGTGTTGTTCTTCATACATCTGCTCATGTCAGGGCCGGAGTTCTGCACCGAGGGGCTAAAATCACGTGTCGCGGAGGAACAACTGCCCCGACAGCTGACCGCTCTGTTGGGTTCAGTGTGTGAGGGACGGTCTGCGACTGTAAAAGGTCCGACTCACTCATAAAGTGTTCACTCCTGGAGCCTGGTGGCTGCTGGCCGTGGGTTTAGCTCAATAACTGTCAGGAGGCCTCAGACGTCTGGTCCTCAGCTGAAGGTTCTCCTCACACGTCTGTGTTTGCGTCTCAGCTCTGGGGGACTTCGACGAACCTCAGCGTTCCTCCGTCACCATGTTCGGAGTTCTGACCATCGCCGTGAGGATCTACCAGGACCGGTGGGGCTACGGGATCTACTCCGGACCCATCGGATCCGCCGTCTTCATCATCACCGTCAAATGGGTCAGTGGTGGATGATGGAGAAAAACGTACATACGGTCGAGGTTCTACCTGTTAAAATCCCTCAAAAGACCCTTCATGTGACCAAAAACAACACAAACAGGCCAAAACTGTAACGAATCCTCACAATGTAACGGTAGCATTATGACTGTTTCATCATTTAAAGAGATTTTACTGCGTTAAGTTATATATTTATTTCATATTTCAACATATTTGGTATCAGCTGTTGGTGTCGCCGGAGGAAGGAGCAATAGGAAAATTAAAAATAAATTAAAACAACTGTAGAAAGAAAAAAAATAAATCAAAGAAACAATAATAATAATAAATAAATGAATAAATAAGATAACAAATTAGTACATTAATATAAACAGCTCCTTTTTTATGGGTTTTTGTTGTTTTTTTGGGGGTTTTTTTATAAAAAAAATTCAGACATTTCCACTGCCACATTTTCAGTTTTTAACACGTTCTTTTTTTTCTTCAGTGCACTGTAAAAAAAATTAAATAAATAAAATAAATTTGAACAATTTACTATTATTTAACAGATTTTCTAGAATTTGTTTTATGACAGATAATATTAAGTAAAATCTCAGAGAAATACGTGTTTATTTACTGCAAAACAAAACAAAACAAAACAACAAACAGACCAAAACTGCAATTAATTCTCACAATTTATTGCTTTACAGTTTTTCCAGATGTGTAACGTTTTGACTATTTCATCATTTTAAAG